ATGCGCAGGCTATGTAATAAGGCCCTGAAAGTGTCGCCCGTGTCTTGGCTGGTTGTACTGCCCTTGCACAGAACAAGTACGTTACCCGACATAACGCAGCCCAGAAGATACTTGTCTTCGAGGTTCTGCAAGACCCAGGCTTGTAGACTCATTGCCACCTTGGTACTTACCACTGAAACCGAAACCAGTGTACGAGTTGGGGACAATGCGCTGTATTTGCGGAGCACCAAGAAGTTAGAGCCAACGGAGTAGATGCTTGCATAATCAACCACCAGTCAAAGCGAGTCATCATGCTGGAGATGAGCTGCCAATGGGTTACAAACCGGGAGAAAAAAGAGGAGGAGAAAACCACGAAATACGGGCCGCTCCGTTGGGAATTGAAGCAGAAGTAACAAGGATATGAAGTGAAACAATACAATATCATAATGGACGTACTAGGGGGATGGTGCCGAGACTTAGAGGCCAAGCTAAAGGAGTTGGTTGCATCTCAAGGACAGAAAAGGTTGCTGGAGGTCGACAGCAGGGTATGCTTTCTTCATGGTATCACTTTTTTGGGGGGCGGGGGAGGGGATCGTCAACAAAATGTATTAGCAATGTCAACTTTCAAGACTGCTTTACCCTTCGTGCTGGAAGATCAAGAGATACTTTATCTTCGGCATGTATATCGGTTTAGGTAGACCTTTCTCTTTGGTGAACTGCCGTCTATCGTAAGCTGAATAAAATAGCCCGAACTAATTTTCAGCCATATTATTCCTGGATCACTGCAATTATGTTCGGCTTCTGTTGTTAGCCTTAGCTACAATTTGCTCGGTAACTTTTTGGCAACCCTCGCTTTCTGGAGCAACTTTAAGGCAACTTTTGCCATTTTGAGCAACTTTTGATTTTTGAGGAGCCTTGATTACATTTTAGACATTTTATGGGAATTACAACGTCCTATAATGCTATTTATCTCTGTAAGAAACTTTCAGTTCTTTAATGTTAACTTTTAACAACGTGCGAACTCAATTAAAGATACGGGAAAACAATGTAGAGAAACTTGGTGAAGACAATCCCTTAACTGTATTTCCATTCTACGTCGTATTTTTTTCCTTAAAACCAAATTCCCAACCTTGCTGCAATAACTTATTATTATCGCTTCCTTTTTTGACTCTAGGTATTAAGTTATTTCGTTGGAATGTTTCGCAATGCACTGGATCAACCAGACCTACGAAGCAAGTCGATGGGGACAGCATTGTCAGCTCAAGAAATCAAATTAGTTTTGGATACCTTCCTTTTTAATAATAGAAACGTGGAGACTATGCTTGATAGAGATGTTGTTCCATTGCTTTTTTCATTCATCGCTAAAGGAAAAGTCACTGAAAAAGAGAAAGCTTTCAAATCACTTCTGGTCATTTCAAGTAAAAGCTCCAGAGGCAAAGGACAGATCATATCGCACCTGCGCGCAAATTATGGCAAACCTGGGATTCAAGAAGCAGCGAAACGGCTCGGGTTAGAGCAAAAGAGGCCCCAAACGACAGAAGGTAACCTCTTATTTTACACATTTTTGAAAGTGCTTGACAGCAAAATTGTCAGAAAAAATCACCTTTTTTTATACTGCATCCCAGGGACTAGCACCATGTATGAACATATGTGACACCCTTACAAGATTTTTGCCTACCCCCTATACGGTAAAGAGTCCACTAGATATGGTATTCCATAAACTTGTTCGCAATTATTTTAACTGCATGTTTGTCGGAGACGTGTAGAGGCCGTGAGAATGGTCCTTATATTTTGTAGGTGTCACTAAGATGCAAAGGCGAACAGGGTGTGACTACCAGGAAAGATGTCGCAGGTTTAAGTTATCACTTGAACTGTCAGGTACGACTCGACTTAACAGTTTAAGGAAATTGCTGGACACTCCATAATATATTTCTAGGCTAACAATGTGATGCAATTACTTGCTCAAAGCAATTATTGAGATGAATGCTATTAATATTTAAGTTACGCGTCATGTATTTTTAAAAGTACCAAGATAAAGAGTAAAAACAAACGTGTTGCAATTCAAGGCGAAATGATAGGTATCTTGTAATGGTTTAGGTATTGATTAATATTTGTTTCTATTTTCCCAGATGTTTTCTTTGACCAAAACTACGATAGATGTTACTGTATGAAATGTCACGACGCCCGAGGCGACAGTCTTTATTACAGTCGAGGAAAACCGCCAAAGACCTATGGTCTTCCCGTAGGATGGTGTCGATTTAGACTTTTAAAAGTAAGTCAAAAACGCTTTTTGTAGCGGAGCTCCACGCGCGCGTGGGCGGAGCCCCATTGCTAAGTCAATTTACCCATCCCAGAAAATTTGGTAATCACGTGACCGTACAGCGACCGACCGACCGCCGTCCGTCCGCACCACAGGAAACCAATGTTTACTCTCACACTTTTAGCTAGTTTGGGAGCCCAAGAGAAAACTAATTGCACAGGCTGCAATCAATGTTGTGATCAATTGACAGCTATCAAAACAGGGCATCCGCTGACCAGTATCACCTGACCGTACCGCGGGCTCAAGTATCGACCCATCGAGGTCGAGTATTTTTTTAAAGTTATCCGCTGACAAATTACCAGTTTTAAATGATCGCAGGCTCAAGTTTATTTTTTCAAGGATTCATATCAAATATGTTATGTTTATGTCACTATGGCCCCGCACTATTAGGATTTTGATTTCAAACTGACCTCGGAAGCGAAAATTCATCCAGTTTTTTTAAAAGTGCAGGCGGGGAAGACCTTATCTTACCATGCTCACGCGTTGGTCACCCTCTACGTCCAATTTTTCTACTCTGATTGGTCAAAATTTGACAGGTGAGTTAATGCAGAAAAATTATTCAGCATCTTGAGAGTAGTTTACTTTGACAGCTGAAGCTGACAGAGTTTTGTGTCAGCTTGTGATGTTTTTAATTGTCTTTTTCCTCTGGAGGTACAAAATGAAATACAGCTGCTATCAAGAGTCTTCTGTTATTCATGGCTGGTTTGTTTACTTGGTTTTGGTTGAGAAATGTGTCGCTTGTCAAAATTCGGTAATTCGATTTCAGAGGGCATCGTTTTCGTTTTTCACCTTGCTTTTATGCGTAAGAGGGTTTAAAAGTCTCAAGCAACTGTGGCCTCCCTTGCTAGCTTCCAGGAACTGAATCTCGAATGGTAAGCCTAAGTAATTATTGTATTTGATGTTTGTGTTTCATGAAGTCTTGCACAGTTCACGCTGACAGTTTATGCGGCAAGTTTATGCACGTTTGCAGGATTTGAGTCAATGATCTGACCTAGTATCAGGTTTGATATAAGCTTACAGAACTTTAAAAAGCCTTCAGATATATTTGCTCACCACAAATAGAAAGAAAACGTTCCGAAGAATATTTAGTTATAAATTTGGCTGTAGAAAGAAAACTTTGAGCGATTTTCTTGCTTCGAGGAGTTCACCTTCAAAAACAGTAAACACCGCGCCGGGAAGCCGGCTAAAACATAAACTTAAGCTTTACGCTTAAAGACTCAGGATTTTTAGAGACACTTTAATACTTGTCTTCGTGAATGAAAATTGTTGTCTCTGTAAATGTTTCACGGAATTATATCTCTTTTTTTGATTGTTAGTAGTCTCTCTTGCAATTTTAATCGCTTGTCCGTGCCGTTTGTTTTCATCGTTCATGACCATCGCTTGCAGGAGTACTCAAAAATGTCGCGCGTATCAAACGCTTTATAAGATTACACATCGTTATAACTGAAACCATTAAATAACAAAACAAATAATAATAAATTCGCTATTATGTTGAAGCGTAACTCTGTTAAAGTTCATTCAAACACTCGACCACACTGACAGCTCGCACTATAGAAACGAGAACCAGCTGGCCGTATGGGTGATTTTGGAAATTTTCTGAAATTTTTGAACGGTTTGGCTCGTCCTGAATATTGACTGAGTGCAATTTGTCTTGGAAAATTGTGAAATACCGCATTCTGTCCTAGCTCTGTATGATAAATAGTACTGTTTCACCTCAAATGTGGTGTATAAAAAATTATAAAAGGTTGGTTTAAACACCCCAGATTTGTTGCCAAGAATTTGTAAAGTAAACCTGTCGAACGCAAAAAAATTTGGCGTGATTTGTTTTCCAAGAATTTGTTTTCGAGGCCTAATCTACTGTGATCTTGAATGTGATCGAAGATGTTTGCTATTTTTTGGGTGTACATATAAGGTTATCAATTCGATGTAAGATGTTTCACTCTAAAATAACTTAGCCTTTCCCTCAAAAGTCACATGAATGTGCCCTTAAGTTAAATGATTTGTGGATTAAAAGTTTATTGTTTGATTTAAATTATAAATTTATTATTAAAATTGGAGCTTCGCTTTTAGCCCTGGCTAAATGTATATATTAAGCTGGAACATTTTATGTAACATCATAAAGCTGAGTAGATATTTTCTTGAACGAAACTTTATTTATTTGACTGGTTATAGTACAGTGTTTTTCACGAAGCCTAGACTGAGAGCTTTCTTTTCATCGTTCTCGGATTTTAGGAGGTTATTTAACAATTATTCTTCGAGCCCGAATGGGCTCTAAGTCAATAAGTCAATTGACTCAGAGGCCATGAAGGCGAGAGGAATAATTGTTTTAGTAAAATCCAACTAGTTGGTCATAAATATCGAAACAAAACAACTTTAGCTAGCAAAACGCGATTTAGCCGCCATTGTTTTGGTTTTTAAAGCGGGCGTTTTTCGCTATTAGTGGGCTATAACATATAGTATAGTAGTAGCTCAACCAATCAGAACGCAGCATTGATAATAGACCACTAATTGGATTTTACCAATATGTTTTATTCGAGTAATACGGATATGCCACCTGGATACCGCATAAATTTCAGAAATAACGGTGTTCATTCCGTTATGAGAGCAACCCTTTATTAGCTTATAATTGCTGCCTAGATGAAGGAATACCTCTACGGCGAAAGTGTAGGATAGACAAAATCAATTACCTTTTCCGTACGTAATGGTTATTTTTAGGGTCCACCACAGAGCTCTTGCCTTGAATGTGTTCAATAACTGGGGCGCAGCATTCCATGGCACAAGAGTTGATAGTGTCAAGGCAATTTTGGAATGCGGTGATCTTCTTACACCAGGTGTGTCTTTGGGTGCCCAAATGCAAAGTCCCCCTGCTAATCATCACTGTTTATGTACGTGCTTCAATGCATATGTTGTAGTTATCTAAGATAATTTTTATTTTTCCATTGTTTTTGGCTATGGTATAGTGTTGCTAGTGAATTTGAAACAAAGGAAAAATAAAAAATTAACTGAAATAATAATAAAAACAAATTAACTGCAACGTATACATGTAGGTGCTGTAGTTTGTTTATCAAAGATATAATTATGGTGAGCGTAACACCAGACTATAGCAAGGAAATTCGAGGCCTCTTTTGCGTCTTCGTCTTTATTGTATCCTCAGCTAGATGAGATAACTCTAAACTCTCAGCAATTTTGTATTGTCATAGCCTGCAAACCAGCTTGGAAATTGCCAGTCTTTTTTTACCTGTGTTCAAGCCTCTAGTACCCATGGCGTGTACATCTCGCTATACTGAAATAAAAAGCTTTCTCTCAAGCTAGTAGTATTGTAATTTTTTTAAAAAGCTATCATTGCAATGAATCTTGTGTCTTTGCGCTAACCCCAGTCGATTTTTATGTGGGAGATGTAGCGCTTGGAGGAAGAAAGCTAAACAAGGAGGAGGGACTTTTCAATGACAAGAGAAAACCTTCGGGATTTGGTACAAAGCAAATCTTCGTCTCATCGAGTATACGCTACTCAGGACGTAACACCTACGCGAAACCTAAACGGTGAGCCTTTTTTGACTTTTTGTACTTGTTTTGCGTCAGGTCCTTGTTTATATCTTCGTTTGCAGTTGTTATTTTACGTGCTCTTGTTCTGCATACAATATTTATGTAGTCACATGTACCCTATTGGTTGTCGAGAGGAGGCAGAGAAATCTAGGTGAACAACAAACAATAACAACATCGACAACAATACAATTTAAGCAGTTAATATACATTATGCCACTTTCCTATACCCTATAGATAAGGTTACTACTATTCATTCAAAATGTTTCGCAGTTTTTTATTAGCTCAAATCCCCCGGCGAATTCTTCATAAGCAGCCGATGTTTACTAATTTTGAAAGATACGAGCAATTTGCCATCCATTGTATAGTATATTTGCGTAGAAACGAGCTTGATCGAAGGTATATTTTCTGACCACGAGGCTGTTTGGGCAATAATGAACTAAAAAATGGTGTCGATGACTATGTGTAGACGAAATAGCTGAATTTCTGACTAAAACTGAAGGGAGGAAGTGCAAGAATACGCAAAACATGTTGCTTGATTGATGCTATTTACTTTTTGAGGAGTATCTCCAAGAAAAAATTATATGTTTCTATTCTGAAAACTTGCCGAGATATATAATAGGCTAAAGTTTTACAGAAATACCACGAGGAGGTAAGCCTGTAAAGAGTTTAGAAATATTTTGAATGAAGAATAAAACAATTTTTCAATTCGCCATTCGTGCAATGAAGAAATATGCTGATCTTGGAGACTGTTAGCCACTTCGGACGATAGCATTCTCCTCGATCGGTTCATCATACTCAGCCTCTTTCAATAACACAAGGGTAGATGACTTGAATTTCCTAAATTCTACATGATTCGATTGTCTTTTTTAAGTTTTGCTGCCGAAAAGACCAGTGTCAGGCTAAATATCTTTAAAATCATTTATTATTAGTAGCAGTCTTTTACGTACCAATTATTGCCATGACGTCATGCTAATTGAACACCGCAGATGGTTGTTTTAGAAGGACATTGGTGCTTAATTTTATCGTCTTGAAATTGCTAATTTTTAAAACATATTTTTTTGCTGTTTAGTTTTCTTAACCCTGTGACGAAGAAGGCCTTTAATGCCAAAGTTGTTCTTCAACTGTATATCAACCCTGATAGCTATAAGGTTGGACTACAGACAATTGCTGCTGCCTCTGAGATTGACCCTAAGTTTAGCAACCAGGAGATTGAGTGGTTTACAAAGGAACGTGGATCATTATTCTTGACGGACTGCTTGTTAAACTTGATGAAGCTGATTAAGGTTCTTTTTTTTTTTAGGATTTTAAGGCTCATTGCCACACCATCGGGGGATGTTTTGCTTTGTTACAGTTTTGTTTTAAAATATGGGGCACACGTTTCAGCTACGTCAGACTTACGAGAGTGTCAAAAAAAATTAAATTGAAACTTTAAAACACTTTTCAGTTCACCCGATTTGGGATTTATCAGATCGATTAGAGTGGTGAAAAAAAGTTATTGATATATAAATGAAAGAAAAGAAAACGTTAATTAACACTCCACGTGGCGATACCAACCGGTATTCTAATGAATATAGAATATAGTTTCCTGGTTGAGGTAATATAATCAATTATGGTTTCCTCGCGGTTAAGCTGACTCGTGCGGAATCCAGAGAATTATCCTTTTCAGTTTTCGATAAATGCCTCGAAACCTGAATTTAATGCTTGACCTTTTACCCTTTACTCTGCCTTACGATGTTAATATTCGCTGGCTACGTTGCTTTTAACACGCGAATTCGTTTTGGCGACTTTGAAAGGGGAAAATTGGATTGATTCATATTGAACCCTCTGATATACATGTATACTTTTAACTTCTCTTAATCTAGAAGAGCTGCATACTTAACTTTTGTGTAAAAACACCTTGTCAGCAGCACTTGCTACACCCATTTCATGGGGCGGTAAGCTAACTGTGTGGCAAATAACAATAGGGCCATTTATACGAGGAAAAATAAGACGCGTCTTACATAAGACGCGTCTTAAATAAGACGCGAACTGTACCATTTATACGAGCATGTCTTATCTAATAAGACGCGTCTTAGCTAAGCCGCGTCTTATTTTAGACGAACTGTGCCGTTTATACGGAAAGTTCGCGTCTTATTTAAGACGCGTCTTATTTTTCCTCGTATAAATGGCCCTAGTATCTCTCAAGTGCAAAGTTCATCTTTGTTTAATAATAATTGTAATATATAGATTTAGCCATGGCTAAAAGAGAAGCGTCTATCGATATGCTTTTAATTAATTAAAAGCAAATAGTTAACTGATTTTAAAACAAAAAAAAAATGTCAATCAAATTCGATCATAGTAATAGTTTTCCAAAGAATTCTTACCCCTGAACCCCATAGAAATTCATACATCTGATGCTTTCTCTTTGAAAAGAGAAACTTACAATTTCAAAGAAACAATACACTAAATCTGGAGTGTAAAGAAGTCCGTGATCAGTTTTAAGAAAACCTTGGTTTTCGCATACATTTTCTGTGATTCGACAGTACTAAAATTACAGAGGTTTTCTAAACACTGATCACGGACTTCTTGGCACTCCAAATTTAGTCTATTGTTTCCTTGAACTCGCAAAAAGTTAACCTTTTCAAAGGGAAAGCATCAAATGTATGAATTCTGGGAGAATTTGCTGGCTTTGAATTCTAATACAAATCTTCTAATTTCCCGCCATCTTGCCCTGATTACTCATGATGCAACTATAAGCGTGAACTCTTCTACTGACATCAATTCTTCATTACATGCCATGACATGAATAATTACGCCTGACTTAAAAACAAAACAACTCCAACGAGACAAAACTGTAATAATTACTCAGGCTCACCTTGGATGCAGCTCCTGAGTAAGCGAGTAAGTGAGGCCCGAAACTTTTCCTGTACTCTGCTGTAAAAGCCTTTATGTTCGACTTGAATCCCGTGGCGAAGCCCTCCTCAAACCAGCTGTTTTTCATTTCGTGGTGGCAGTGGAAGAACAAGAACAGTTAGAAATGTGAAATCTTTACTGAAAGATTTTACCGGTTGTCTGCCGTAAGAGCCTGCATGAACTGTCACAAACGCAACCATCGATGAATCCCTTTGCGCTGCGACACTTTCCTCGACGAAAAAGCAAATAAACAATTCAGTTTTAAAAATCCGAAAAAAGAAGAGAGCAGTTATATTTCATTTTGTAGCGACAGTACAAGAACACGATAATTATAAAATTTAACTGAAATGAAAAGAAGGCTTCAGTTGTCAGCAAGTAGTCAAGGTCGGGGGGGGGGTAGAATACTAGGTTGATCCTGGAATATGAACAAAAGCGTGACCAAGCAAAAAGTAAAGCCTTGTCGGCTCACTACGAAAGAAACCCCAATCGCCAGTTGTGAAGTAATGGTAGTAGACGTGATATATCGCATCGCTGTTCAAGGAATTTTTGTAGGCATTGTTATAAAAGCTGGTGTTGCTAGTCTTAAAGTAACAGACTTGTTGACTTGTTGTCAGCAAGTAGTCAAAGTCGGGGGGGGGGGTAGAATACTAGGTTGATCCTGGAATATGAACAAACGCGTGACCAAGCAAAAAGCAAAGCCTTGTCGGCTCACTACGAAAGAAACCCCAATCGCCAGTTGTGAAGTAATGGTAGTAGACGTGATATATCGCATCGCTGTTCAAGGAATTTTTGTAGGCATTGTTATAAAAGCTGGTGTTGCTAGTCTTAAAGTAACAGACTTGTTGTTTGCCTTCCCTTTTTGTAAAAATATAAACCAGGAAAACTTTTGTCCTTGCTCGTTGGCTGTTTGCCATTTGTTAATTTCCATTATGAAATTTAGCGAGCACAACGTAAACAACACAACAGAACTACAAAGTTTGTTTGTAATATTGTTTTCCATTTTGTTTATAGGTCAGTTGAGCATGCAGTTTCAGTAGTGTCGTTTCGTCTTTCCAAAGTGGCAGATAATATTTACCTGGATTTATAAAAACATATATACCTCTTATTAGCCGAGTTTTCGGTCCGTACTGTAAATTTCCTGACGGAGTTTTTTTCCATCAATTTATGGCCCAAGCGCAAAGCGCGCGCGCGGGCCATAAATCGATGGAAGAAAACGAGTTTTTGTTGGCGCACGAAAACAATTATAGCACATAACAAAGGCTTTCCGAGAAAGTAAAAACAAATTCGCCATGTTGAAAAAGTTTATTCGGTCAAAACTAGGGTTTACAGACATATTTTAAAATTTATTCGGTCAAAACTAAGAGCACTGTAAATATTTACTCGTTAGTGTGACGCTGAGTCTTTTGAAAACTGGACGTTGTGCCTGGCCCGAACTCGCTTCTGTCTTTCTTTCGTTGGTCTTTGAAAAAACACCACAAATGGCAAAGAAGCTTGTCAAGATGATCGGGTGCAGGTATTTTTTGTAGATGTTTGTTATCATATTTGTCGAAGGAATTACTCATTTCTCCTAGGCAAAACATCTCGAATCTCTGCCAGTCGATTTTCGTCTTCTTAACTGTCTACTGCGATAAAATTTTCAAACACTGACTAGAATCCTCTTCGATAAGATTACGAGTTAGTTTCTTCATCGCCTTCGTTTACAAATAAACACAGTTTAAAATGTTGAAGGCCAAAGTCAACATCCAAGTCCTCAAGGTTGACAGGCGTCTTATAACTTTATTTAAACCTTTTTTCCGAGGTAAAGAAATTTAGAGCTCCGAAATGAGCATTTTCTTTACAAAGCAAGTTACGGACCGCAAATTGACCAATCGCATGACGAAAACAGACTCAGCCATATAATAAATTTTCTTATAGACGGTTGTTTGTAGTAAATTCGCAAATTGCAGGTCACGGGACTTTCCTATTTATGTCTGTCCTCAAAGAAAATATACACCTTACGGTAAAATTTCCATCAGATATTGTGAGGCTGTATAAATGTAAAGGCTACACATAACTGTTCGTCCCGGCCCGTTTAAAAAAAACGAGTAAAGGAAAGAAAATATAATGTGCTTACGGGAACACTAAAGTTCCTAAGTCGGCATAATTTTCGTCTTCTCTTTAAGACAGAAATGATAACCCTAGAAATCGTAACCGAGTGTAAATTGCTGCTACTAGAGAGACCTACAATTTCTCAATTTTTCAACTCAGGTTTGTTTATATGCGGGATATTTTTTATATGAAAGTAGATGCGAAAAGAAAGCCTGAAAAATATCAAGCTTGTATGGTATGACTTTCATATATAGTTATTAAATAACTTTGGTATATTTTTTCTTAATCATTTAGCCCCTCCCTCTAAAGGTGAACTGACGCCTAAGGCTCCTTATTTCTTTATTTCTTTTTGGCTTAAAGTTCATGTTATTAGTTTAAATTTCATTGCTTTTATCATAAGTACAGAAACGGAAGCTTCGCTTTTAGCCCTGGCTAAATCTATAGATTACTCTTATATTTTGAGAAGACAGGACATAGACTCAAAGGTGGGTACATTTCCAAGGAAATGGCAAATCAGCGAGCTGTGCAAGAGCTTTAAAGACCTTCAAACTAGTATTCGATATATTTACCATTTAAAATTTCTTGCCTCAAAACGAAAAAGAAGTTAAGGGAAACACTTTGGCTGGTTCATTTGCATTCCGCTCCGGAATACATTTGAACTGTAGATGAAGAACACTTGATCATGCTAACGAGGGTATAGACAGGATAATCATAACTTTTTTTTGGAAAAAGAGGAACAAAACCGAACATGAACTCTAACCTTATCGGTAGGCTCATTTCCAGTTGTCTTTTTTTTCCCTTTTTTGCTTTCCCATTCCTCGTGCTTCTTTCCCGTACTCCCCGTTCCCTGTTTTAGTAAACCATTTCCGTTCACGTGATCAGCATCTATGCAAATTTGGAACATTAAAGAAGGCATTTACATAATAAAAAAATTTAACTCCCACAGAAATTGATGGGGACACGAACATGGCAGCCTTTTTGTTGTTTAATTTCGTCAATGTCATGTACATTTTCGCTTTATAAAGACCAACGCCCCAGAAAATGTACAACAGCAGGGCCAAAACGCGTCAAAACTGACGGTTTCTTAAACAGAACTTTGTAAGTTTTGTTCGTTGACTTGTTTAAGACTTATTGTCTTCAGACAGCTGGCCATTTAAATGTTTTCAAACTGGTAAGCTACATTATTGTTGATTAATTCATTGATATATTTATTTACGCGCAAACTGTTTTTTATTAAGCAATATTTTTTTTAGCCAAAATTTAAAAACTAACTGGAGGATAAATTCAAACCACTCTA